AACTCTAGTATACTAATGGTTGAAATGTAAGAAACAGGCAGATCTAACAGAGCAAGGAGCTGAAAATAAATTTTATAAGTGAAAAAAGTAATGTTTTCACTCTTTTGGCCTATCAATTTCAGGCAGAAAATTTAGGACCCAGTTTTTCTAGACGAGTGTTTTTCAGCCGTAGCAACTTTAAAATGTGTGGACTTCAACTTTCAGGATTCCTTGATCTGCCTGCTAACAGATGAATTCTGAGAGTTGAAGTCTACCAATCTTAAAATTGCCAAAGTTGGAAAACATTGTCTTAGAGATACTTCATTACCTTTCAGTACCTACCTGGCATCTGCTTCACTATAGTATTCTCTGGCAACAATGTCCTCAAACAGCTCCCCTCCAGTTACACTGAAAAGAAAGGAAAGGAGAATCAGCGTCCATTGATTGACAACGCCAAATAATCACATGTACCATGTAAGGGCCTTGACCCAAATTTAGGTAAGTATCAAACAGAAAGAGTTTAGTTGATGCAGGCTGAATTGTAGAGGATAGTGGACTCATTCTGCGCTCTTAATCTCATGATGACCCCTGTCAATCTTAATCGAATTGATACCAGGTCTTATACAGTATGGTTATCCTGACCTAAATGCATGCTCATATATATTGGGGTTTGATGGTTTTTTCACTTTAGTGATTAGGGAACAACATATTGCCACTGTTTCATTCATAGATAAATACAAGTAGTCTTGGATTTACAACAGTTCATTCAGTGATCATTTAAAGTTACAATGGCTCTGAAAAAAGTGATCATTTTTTACACTTACAACTGTTGCAGCCTCCCCATGATCACGTGTTCAAAATCCAGATGCTTGGCAACTGGTTCATATTTATGATGGTTGCAGTATTCCAGGGTCATGTGATCACCTTTTGCAACCTGCTAACAAGCAAATTCAATGGGGGAGGCCAGATTCACTTAACAACCATGTTACTAACTTAAGAATGATTCACTTAACAACTGTGGCAAGAAAGGTCCTAAAATGGGGCAAAGCTCACTTAATCAATGTTTCACTTAGCAGCAGAAATTTGGGGCCCAATTGTGTTCGTAAATTGGGGACTACTTGTAATTCCATAATAAACTAGCAACTATGAAAGGCATATATGTTTGAGAAAGCAAGATACTAATATATAAATACACACCCGAAGGATATTGTAACTAGCCATATTCATGGTAAGATAGGTTGTAAGAATAGGGGCCTTTTAAAAAAAAGACTGCATGCCATGCTAGATTAACATGCTAGATTAACAAAATTTAGAGAAATAAAATTACATTGGTGTCACAAGGATAACCATTAATAGAATGAATCCAGGTGGCCTACAAATATTAGATTGTTAGATGTAACCAGTGATCTTTGCAGTCAGGACAATATAACAGAACATGGCAGGAAGTGTGGGGGGGAGTGGATTCTCTGGGATATGGGAGAAAAATCTTCATTGCTAGGAAAGAGGTCTATGGATTTTGAACTATGTTCAGTGAATATAGTTTGAAGAAGGACTACAATCCTAATTCATACACTTGTCACATATAACCTCATGTTTTTTTATGCATGAGTGAGATTTCCATCAAGTATATATTTTGTTTTGTTTTATTTGCATAGTGTCTTAACCATTTATAGAACGGGAAATTGCCTTTCAGCACCACAGATTCTCTACCCTGTTATCTGTGAGCAACTTATTAGGTTTTTCATTCCCTAAACCAGTTTTTCCCAACCTTGAGAACATGGTGTTAAGCCATTGGTGGTGCAGTGGTTAGAATTCAGTATTGCAGGCAAACTCTGCCCATAGTCTGGAGTTCAATCATGATCAGCTCAAGCTTGACTCAGTATTCCATCCTTTTGAGGCCAGTAAAATGAGGACCCAGACTGTTGGAGGAGATATGCTGACTCTAAAACCATTTAGAGAGGGCTGTAAAACACTACGAAGTAGTATATAAGTCTATGTGCTATTGTATTAAGATATGTGGCTTCAATTCCCAGAATTTCCCAGCCAGCATGAGTCTTAAAGTTGCTGTGTTTGTGAAACACTGCCACAAGTAGTTTACAAACTGGTCTGTTTCATTGTATACTTGTAATCTTAAAGTCTTGAACTATATGGCATCTATTCTTGGCTTACAGAGCATCCATGTCTTCCTAGCGTTTGGCAACTCAGTGTTTCTTGCTTGTCTAATTGCATACCTTCTTGGAATTGTAAGAACCCATTTCCATCACAATCTTGCTCTCTTGGTAGAGGCAGAAATAAAGAAACCAAGAGCAGCCTCTGGGAAGAAAGGTTAGAATAAACTAGCTATTTTGATTATGTGAATTTTCCAGTAATGAAACTAAGCTGAAACAGCAGGCAGGATCTAATAAAAAAAAAAAAATGGAGAGAACAGTGGGAAAGCAGCTGGTTCTCCAGGGATTCCATGTTAAAGATGCTAATTTTTGCTCTAATAACTTTGAAGGACTGATCTGCATAAAGAGCAATGGCAATTCTATTAAAGCTGCATGCCTCATAAGGGGGCATTTAAATGCAATCATTTCATGAGTAGATGAAAATTCCAGATGTTGCCATTCTCTATTTGGGACCATCACAGATTACCCTACTCCATTTCCCATCTTTTTTAAACTGTGAGAAATGCCTTGAGGAGTAAGAGATGGAATCGTTGTATTATGTATTTTTATTAGCTACTGCAGGAAACAGCTCTAATGTCTAAACCACTTAGTTATTGCTTTCTGATCAGAATGGAGCACAAACTACAGGGCCACGGTATCTAAGAATGACTGTCACCATCTCAAAGTGGAAACAGACGATAGATTTTTAAAGGTTGCCCATGATGTACATCAGCTGACTCACAACTGATAGTTTGGAAAGTTGAAAATCCATCCCAGAAAAAGGCCATGGCAATCGCTTCTGTATCACTACTAAGTAAACTTCATGGCTGCCATCACTAGGCAGACAAACTTGATTGAATAACATCTTTATGGTACTTTATGGTTTCTGATTAATGGGGGCTAATGTTTTTTGTAGCACTAACCTGTTTTTCAGGAGATGGTAACAAAACAACAAAAAACACTGTGTACACACCACACAGCAAGAGATCCAATATGCAACATGGAATTCCCTGGAGAAAAGCACCCTACGGAAGATGAAGTAGGCATGCATATTTGTGTCTATAATCTTTTTATTTCACGGAACTCCCAACATGTATATGAAAATGTTTGGACTTTCTGTAATTACTTACAGGTCAAATATCAAATAATGGTGTGCCTCTTCTGATATGCTGTCATGGAGTCTCACTGCAAAAATAAAACATAAGATTATTACTATTACTACTATTATTTTGCTTCGTTGCACAGCCAGCTAATTGTTTAGACTGGATCTGGCAGTTTTGTTCATCTATTGAGTCCTTCCCAAGGACCTGAATAGGCTGGTGTTATTTGATGGCTATTATCTCAGACTGTAAGCTGTTCCAAGTAAAGCTGTCTTTTGCAATTGACAAGTGGTCATTTTGTCAATGCCAGTTGCATTAAATGGAGCTCCAGATTTCACCATATAATTTACTTCTTTATCCAATAATTGAAATTCTCTACAATTTTAACAATTTAATCTTTTGGTTCTGTAATTGAATAAAACGCTTTCTTGCTATACAAGAGCAGAAAATAAAACAATATTTAAATCCATCTCTTTCACTTTCTCAGTCATGCCTCCTATTCAGTACTGCCAGCAGTTGAAACCAAAGTACATCTGGAGCATGAAAACACACAGATGTTCTTATAGACCATGACTATATTGCAACATTTCCATGGAAATATTGATGATATCAGACTGTGAAATTAATAGAATACAATGTTTGGATGTCATATAATGGAACAGGGCAGAAGGAAGTATGAAATTAAGGGAAAGCAGAAAGCAGACTTGGGAACAATAGATTGGTGTTTTGTATATTGTGTCCAGATGCAGATTGATGGGATTAGTATTGTTGCTGAGAATTGGGGGCTTATTTGTTTCACTGAATATTCAATTCACTCATTCAATTAGCTTATATTAGCCAATAACATTTTTCAGATCTTTGTATTGTGTGTTTAAAGCCATTGCATCATAAGTGGCATTGCATAAGTTGTAATGATGCTTTCATTTCAGCCTGGTTCAGAGAAAATATACACTTTTGATGCATAATATTATTTTAAATTAAAGTAGGAAAATATTTATTGCTTCTAAGTTGTCATAAAATAGCCAACTGGCCATTGGTTGAATTCTTAGCTGAGTAATGTATGTGGTAGCCTAGAAAATTTTCCTTGAATTAACAATGGAAATATATTGCAATTTAAGTGTCAGTTCAGATTCAGAAGAAATCATTAATGTACATCAGAGATATGTGAAAACTTTTTAATGTTATTTAAGACAGGGGGATCCTGGGTATTTCATATATTTCCATGGACATTCAGCTTATAGATTTTAATTCAATAGATATATTTTAAGGCACTGTTACTATATGGAACTCAATCACACAAAAGCATTGCAGGTCTGAAACTTCACCTTGCTGAAAAAATTGGAAATGAATTGTAATTGTAATTTTCAGCAATTTTATCTGGAAATCACTATAGCTTATCCAGTTTCCTTTGTTTGGTAACATGTTGGATCAGGATGAAAGCTGAATAATATCACGGCTAAGAAACTCACCATCTTCCAAAAGCAATTGAGGAGATTCTCAAAAGTGCTGTAATCAGGTTTAGAATAGGATAAAAATGTTTTACTCAAACTTCAAAATGCTATCCTTGGAATCCAACAATGAGAGATCAAATAGATGCTTTCTACTCAACCAATAGCTAATGTAATTTGCTTGGCAGGGTACCTTGGCTTTAAAAGAAACCTTACTATCACGCAGGATGTTTATGTCTGCAAGGCTTAATTTGGTATTCTCACACAAATTCTTGTGGACACCAATTATCAAGTCAATCTTCCACCCACCATACCCGATCTGGAGATGGCTTCCATGTCCAAAGTGACATTCCCTTTACTTCGACTGCAGCTCTAAACAAATGCAGAAACAAAATGTAGAGCATACCAGAGCATATAATCAATACAGCTAATAGGTTTACAAACAGCCAAAAATCCCCCCTCCACCATCTTTTTCATCATGACCATAGGATTTGGCTAGTCCCATCACAAGAATAGCATAGTGAAAAATACACAAAGAAGGAAAATCAGTGTCAATTTATTACGGGAAATTTAAAATTTACAGGGCTTTTAAAAATGAATTCTTATTGAAAGAGCTTGCACTAAAGAAGCCCTTGAACAGTCCATTCTTTAGGAGGATGCTAGGCTAGCTCTATAGATTTACAACCTCTGAAAAGATAATACGTATTTCAGTTCTGATATAATTTTGGCATGATTTAGTATTACTTCATATTTCTGAATCATTGTAGATTTTACTAATGGAATATGATTAAAAACAGCCAAACTAAACAAACTTTGGATTTGATATAAGTTTGTCAGAAATATAGATATTATTAAAATTTTAATCATAACATTTGCATAATCAATTGAAAATAGCCTGTTCCTGTCTGTTTTGTGCTATGGCTAGAACAGCAAATGAAATTCTCCTTTGAGACAGATTCAGCTTCTGACAAGCTAGGCAGATACATCTATGAAGTTATTGTAATAGCAGAAGGGCCTGCCTGCCACTGACTTCCTCCAGGATATTTTCTGACCTATCAGTAGTATGTGTGTGTATGTGTGTGTGTGTAAATCTATCTCTATCTCTATCTATCTATGTCTATCCCTATTCCTATCCCTATCTATCTATATCTATATCTAAGAGCCATGGTGGTACAGTGGTAGAATGCAGTACTGCAGGCTACTTCGGCTGACTGCTGGTTGACTGCAATTTGGCAATTTGAATCTCATCAGACTCAAGGTTGGCTCAGCCTTCCAAGGTCAATATAATGAGGACCCAGATTGTTGGGGGCAATATGCTGACTCTGTAAACTGCTTAAAGAGGGCTATAAAGCATTGTGAAGCAGTATATAAGTCTAAGTGATATAATGGTTAGATATAGCTAACCATTTCTGATAGAAAAGGCTAGGAGGATCCCAAAAGCACCCAGAATGTGGATATATCTGGATGTAAAGATGACAGATTAACCTAACTTCTTTAACTTGATATCCGTTTGTGTTGAGTTGTGATTTTTTTATTCTCAGAATTCCAGCCAACATATCCAGGTGAGAAGAAGTCAATATATAAAATGAATAAGATACAAATAGAAATTAACCTTATGGTTAACCCAAGTCAACAAATAATGGAAGTGCATTTATGTTTTTGTTGATTTTGAAACTATAACTTGTATATTGCTCATGTTTATTTATAATTAGTAAGATCACTAAATGATCACTCCAATATAAAACTAAAAAAAAATAACCAAAGTTAGTTCCTAGTACATGCAAATACTTCAGGATCACAATATCTTAAAATCTTGGTCTCAAATACATTAAGCTTAACATTCCTCCTCACTAAAAACTGATTCACACTACCACTAATGCATTTTTAAATTATTCTTTTAGGGTTTGATAATCTAAGCAATTATGTGCTGCCTCTGAAAGTTCTGAATGTTAATAACAGAAAATCTTTCTTTAAAATGTTTGGTTTTCCATTTGTTTAAGACATTCTTCACACAGATGGGAATTACTGGGGTAGAGCACAATTCTTTTAGATTTTGATGAAATTGGTTTGGCCCCCATTAGAAATTGAAATGGTTTAGTAAGTATAAGACAGGTTCCGGAGAAACATGTAGAAACAGGAGCTATGCTATTACAGATTACAGTGTTTCCTAATTTTCTGTTCAAGATGGATCACAGTTTATCTGGAAATGCAAATTATTATCTAGAAATGTCTCCATTCAAATTGTGTCTCTGTTGCTAGGTAAGCTGCTGTACTTTGCTCTCAGTTATTGCCATGTTTTAAAAAGTTAGCCGAATATGTCTTTCAATGCTTGATTCTCTTCTCAGAGGAGAAGAAGAGCTTCTTTGGAGCAGATGACAGGGCACAGCAATCCAGAGTGTAGTATGTGTGTGTAAAAAAGAGACAAAACATATAAAAACAAGAAAAAAGTTAAAGAAATTATTGGTCCGCTAATGGGAGAAAATGGCAAGAAGGTGAGGAGCAGCAGGGAGAAAGCATAACTGCTTAAGTCATTTTTTGCATCTGTCTTTTACACAAAAGGGAAAAAAAAGGCCAACCTATTAAAAAAACCTCAGTAAAATGCAGGTTAGGAATGCAAATCAAAATAAACAAGAAAATGGTAAAATAACACCTATCCATGTGAGATGAGTTTAAATCACCAGAACCAAAACCCAAGGTTTTAAGGGAATTGAAGGACGTGCTATCAGAACCACTGAACCATATCTTTTAAAGATCCTGGAGCACTGGGGAACTACCAGATGACTGGGGCTGATGTAGTTCCATTTAAAAAAAGGAAAAAATGGATTCAGGAAACTATAGACCTATCCACTTGACATCAATACCTGGGAAAATCCTGGAAAAGATAATCAAGAGACAAATCTGCAAATACCTAGATGCAAGCAAAATCATAACCAGAACCAACATGGATTTGTTAAATCAGTTCATACCAGACAAATCTTATTGCATTCTTTGACAAAGTGACAAAATCAGTGGACCAGAGAAATGCTGCAGATATAATAGACTTCAATAAAGCATTTGATAAAATAGACCACAACCTATTATCTGATAAGATAGAAAAGTGTGGGATAAACAGCATCACCATCAGATGGATTCATAATTGGCTAACTAGCTGCACTCAATATTTAGTCCTTAATAGAATTGCATCTATATGGAGGGATGTGTAGAGTGGGGTACCTCAAGATTCCTTCTAAGGTCCAGTACTCTTCAATATCTTCAAAAATGATTTAGACAAGGGGAAAGAAAGGGAACTCATCAAATTTGCAAATGACACTGAGCTAGCAGGAATAGCCAACACCATAGAACATATACAATATACAATGTATAGAAGGATCTCAACAGACTTGAACACTGGGCCCTATCTAATACAATGAAATTTAATGGTGAGAAAAGTAAGGTTCTACACTTAAGCAACAAAAATTAAATGCCCAGATATAGAGTAGGTGGTACCTGGGTCAATAGACTCTTGGAGTCCTAGTGAAGGATCTTGGAATCCTAGTGAACAATCACTTAAATATGAGCTAGCAGTGTATTGTAGCTACCAAAAAATCCAATGCAGTCCTAGGCTGCATTAAAAAGGGGATAGAATCAAGATAACATA